TTATCGTCGAGATGGTAAAGAGCCACTATTGCAGGTTTAGTACCGTCTGCTGATTTCAAGGGATTATTTTCATCTATTGATTTAACGAAAATTTTATTATTAATTATTTTGTTATTCGCATGAAAAAAAAAGAGCATTTTTTTTTGAACGTGAGAAATCTTGACTTACTTTTATCGATCATTATAACAGTATTGTGGTTGGCTAATGAAATGTGCATTGCTAGCACGCCAGTCCTAAAGAAGCAGCAGAAGAAGATAATTAATACGGTGATCGATTGGATAAATATCATAATAATAATAGTAATAGTTAATAAAATCGACCCAATCACGAATGACAAGAAAGTTATACTTACTTTCCAACTATAGCAAACGCACCAAGATTATCACCAGGTGCTCTTTCTATAAAGATAAATTGACGGATTAATTAAATGATTAATAAAAAACGCGCTTTTTTTTTTTTTACTAAAAAAATTTAATTGCTTACTATCTAAAGATGTTGATAGAGAGGCAGCAGGTGCAGCAGCAACATTATTGAGGGCAATAAAAAAAATCAGAAAAAAATAAAACGTGAGATAATGTTTTAATTTATTATTATTCATAATTTCTGATTTTCCAAAATGATTATGATGATTTATTATGAAATAATATAATTAATTTTAAAGGAAATAAATTTATTGATATATATATATATAAAATTAATTTTAATATTAATATTAATTTTTTTTAAAAGAAAATAAATTTCCCAATGGTTATATATAAATTTTTTTTTTATATGATTGTTATATGATTTTATTTTAACCCTTTCAGGGCTGTCTGTGTGTGGCAAATTGCTGTCCGTTTAACTTGATGAATATTAGGGATTCCTAAGGAGGGGGGTTTATTTGATTGATTACGTCGTCATCATTTCATAAATATAAAATTTAATTATCATATTCATAATAACCATAAGTTGATAATATTATAGAAAGTTAGCGTTCTTTTTATGCAGTTGTTTTAGTTGTCAATGATTTGTTTCTTATTCAAATTGAGATTAATTACTTTTTCTGTAAATAAAAAGTCCGATATCTTCTTCCCCTGCCTCCTTATGTTATCTTTTAATTAATTTAATTTTTTTTTTTAATAATCATGATTATTATTCTATATATCAGAATTTACCATAAAAATTCACAGATAATTAATAAATGGTCAAAAGGTAACCAAGTAAAAAAAAAAACAAAAAAAAATTCATCTAAATTAAAAACCATTTTCATAACTTATATGGTAAAGATTTACTAAAAAAGTGTTGAGAAACAGACCAATTGAACAATCAATATCAGTTTGAAACATGAAATAGGCTTTTAAAGAGTGAATTAATTTCAAAGAACAGATTTGGCGATACGCCATTACAATGATATTGTTGAAAGCAAATGAATGATATATATATATATATATATATATATATATATATATATATAAATCAAGTTTTCTCTTGTTATTTTCTTTACAAATCGAGAGAAGAAAAAATATTTGTAGGGATTATAAAACACAAAAAAGAAAAATAAAAAAATTTATTTTA